TCCCACCCGGGCCCTCCTCCCGTGGCCAGCAGCTCGCTGATGTCCTGCAGGCGGCTCATGTTGGGGAACTTCTCCTGGAGAAGCTTCTTCATTCCGCGACTTGCGCCCACGGGGACGACCTTGATGCTGCTGTTGGGACAGGCATGGGCATGGAGGTCAGGGGTCATGGGTCATAGGTCAGCTTCACACCCCACCCTTCCCACAGTGCGTCAGCGCGTTTACTTTGAGCAATCACAGAGTCTCAGCAGCAGTGCTGTCATCAGCCGCACCGGAGCCCACCCCCCAGCACCCTCTCTCCAGGCACTCACTAATGGCGGAAATCCAGCTCCTGGGAGTCAGGGTTGTAGTTGATGAGAAGGCAGCGCTTGATGGTGTTCAGGTTCACCTGGGAGGAAGCAGGAGCGGGAGGCTGAGCTGCTCACAACCTCAGTGCAGGCTCCATCTATCTCCAGACAAGTTTAGGGCTGGGAATTCTAACAGGCTTGAGGGGCTGCAGAAGTGGTGTCCGTGGGCTGCCTGGGCCCTGGTGAGAAGCTTGTTCCAGGGCCCCAGGCCAACTGGCATCTTACAATGCACCTCCCTTGAGGACCACTGATACCCAGGATTAGGAGCTGGGGCTCTGGAGCCAGAAGGATTTAAGACTCCAGTTTTGCCCCCTTGAATTTAAGACTCCAGTTTTGCCCCCAGACTTATGACTTCTCTGTCAGTCTCGGTTTCCTGCCATAAAATGAGACTGATGGGGTGTAGTGGCTTAAACCTGTAATCCCAGCACTTTGGGAGGTGGTGGCTAGAGGACTGCCTGAGCCCAGGAGTTTGAGACCTGCCTGGGCAACTTGGTGAGACCTCATCTCTACAATAAATTTTTTTAAAAACCAGGCATGGTGGCAGATACCTATAGTTCCAGCTACTTGGAAGGCTGAGGCGGAAGGGTCGCCCAAGCCCAGCAGGTCAAAGCTGCAGTGGCTGTGGGTATGCCACTGCACTCCAACCTGGGTGACAGCGAGGGACTGTGACAACAAATGCTGCACTGCTCAGCCCAGTCCTAAACACGGACACAAACAGAAGGTAAACAAAGCCCCTCTGCCAACGTCTTCCTCCTCACCTGGAGAAGGCACTGGGGGTTGGGGCTGGCATGTCCCAAGCACACTTAGCCAGCATCATTGGGATCTGACCTCAGGGCTCAGCTCCCAGCCTCCAAGCTGCGAGAACTAAGCAGTCAAGTCGAGGGCCTGTGGTGCCTGCTGCCTACCCCAACCCACTTGCATTGCCAGGCCTACCTTGTGCACATTGATGGAGGGGAACAGGTTCTGGAACATGGTGGCCACGAGCTTCACGTGCATGCCATGGGGGCCAAAGCTGTTGAGCACCAGGAGGGGTGGGTGGGAGAACTGCTGCTCGTGCATGCGGTGCCGACGCAGTGAGGAGACCACATCCCGTACCAGTGTATACTGCAGGCAGGGAAAGGAGCACATGACCCCAGCTGCCAGGGTTGAGGCCACCCCCAAGCCCTGCTCCCAGCCAACACATGCCGACCACCTCCACCTCTAACCTTGTTGACCTGGAAGACCAAGGTGGGGCCTCCTGGGAGGCGCATCAGCTTCTGCGGGAGAAGAAAGAATCAACAAAGGCAGAGATGCAGGGAAGGTGAGGAGTAGGGGTCTCTGTCCCATCTCTTCTTCAGAGCGTTTACTTTGAAGCCAGAATCACGGCAGCTCAGGGGCATGGGGATTCATCACGAGAGATGGGAAGAGAGAGGGACCTGGGGGATGAAGGGCATGTTCGCTTACAAAGTAGACATTGGTCTCTGTTTTGCTGAGGATCAGGAAGTGTGTGACCCCGAGAGGCCCAGCCACTGCCATGCAGTCCTTCAGCGAGTTCTTCTTCCTAACCTGGAAATCAAAGAAAGTAAAAAGGGCAAACACAGCTAGTCCTTACTCGGCAAAAACTAAACCCTTGAAGCATCTGATCCTTCCAACAGGCCCAGAAGAGGGGGATGATCCCAGCTTCCGGAACCAATCAGACTTGAATTCAAGTACCGCCTGTGCCCTTTGCTTAACGGTGCATCTACCCATTCGACAGATAAGCAAACTGAGACCCAGAGGGGTTAAGTCACTTGCTCCAGGACCTTGGAAGAAGTCAGGTTTCCAACCCAGCTTTGTGCCCAGAGTCCAGTCTTAATCGACAGACTTGGGCGACGACCACCAAAGCCCTGAGCTGCCCGCCCTCGCTCCCGCCCCACGAAGCCCGGAGGGGCCGAGATGATGGTCCTCACGAGGGTCCCTTTCCCTACCGAGGGGACCTAGGCCTCCCACGGTTTTCCAGCGGGGGCCCGCCCTACAGCCGCGGAGACGGGGCCCGGGGGTGCAGACCTGCAGGCGGCT